CATCTTGCAACGGGACAATCACAGGAAAGCTCTCAGTGTAATACCATGATACTGCAGTCACCCGCTTTAACTGTGAACCCCTACGCTGTCATTCTCTTTCACCCTCATTGTACTGGTGTCAGCACCCACACCCTATCAGAACCCACACCCTGTCAGTATCCACATTGTACTAGCGTCAGAACCCACACCCTGGCAGGATCCACACCCTGTCAGCGCCTACATCGTACTAGTGTCAGAACCCACACCCTGTCAGGATCCACACCCTGTCAGCACCCACATTGTACTAGTGTCAGAACCCACACCCTGTCAGCACCCACATTGTACTAGTGTCAGAACCCACACCCTGTCATAACCCACATTAATCTTCTGCCAAAACCCACACTATATTTAAGCTTCAGGACCCACACTAAAACTTGTACCAGAACACACTGTATATTTTAATGTCAGTGTATGAGTTTGAGAATGAGTGAGTGAGTGAATAAATGAGTGTGTGTGCGTGAGCTAGCAAGTGAATGAGTGTGTGAGTGAGTGTGTATGTGTTCGTAGTGTTTACTGAAGAATCTATTAGTGTCACTGGTAAGGTTAACTTGGCATGTACAATAACCCTGGCCTCACCTTCTGATATAATTACATAGTTTATTCAAGTCGTTCAAACAAACTATTCCTGTGTCGCTGTTTAGTCAGTTCCAACTCACGGCTGTAACACTTCCAGCCTTGAATATTTTTGGGGGTTGTTAGCTTGCTTGGGGGTTGTTAGCTTGCTTGGGGGTTGTTAGCTTGCTTGGGGGTTGTTAGCTTGCTTGGGGGGGCTTGTTGTTAGCTTGCTTCCGGTTCTCAAGCTCTTCCTCACTATAGACCCGTGTTTGCATAGTCATTTATGAAGGTAAGTAAGACCCAACCAGACTTTAAGTATGTAAACAATTAAACAGTTTTTTGAGGGCTATATTTGTTTGCTTTGAGACAGTGTTTGCCTTTGTATGCCTGGGTTATGCTTGGTTAAGACGATACTGTTTGCTTTTGTTTGTAGGCCTGCATTGTTTACGTACATGCCGAGGTAATCTAAAACTGACACTAATTTTTCAAGAATAAATATTTGTCTAAAAGGCAAGATTGTTATATTTTCAACTCCTGCTGCTGGTCAGAGGCAGGTTACTTAGTGTGGCTCAGTGGCCAAGGGCAGGTTACTTAGTGTGGCTCGGTGGCCAAGGGCAGGTTACTTAGTGTGGCTCAGTGGCCAAGGGCAGGTTACTTAGTGTGGGTCAGTGGCCAAGACAAGTTAGTTGCCGAGGCTCAGTGGCCAAGGGGAGGTTAGGGCGGCTCAGTGGCCCCGAGGGTGAGCCACAACACGGCGGGTGTGTGAACTTGGCCCTAATTAGCAAGTTGTTGGGAAGTGCTCGCTCAGGGGCGGCCAGGAACCATCTTGTATATCATAACAAGACCTTCAGAATTATGACGCAGAATAATAGTATAAAACCGCCAAGAATATTTTCTAAAAAACCACCAGAATAAATTATATTTTCTAAATAATCTTGATCATTTATACTAAAGAAAACTAATTATGAACAAATAAGACTTGATAATTATAAGAAAAATTTAAGAACTATTGTCTGGAACACATTATAAAAAGTTTGGATAATATTAAACAAAATTTGGGTCACTTGTACTCAGAAAATATATAAACTATTTAATTTATAAAACAAGAAAATAATATTAAAAATAATATCAAGAAAAATACTGTAAATCTAACTAGGGACAAATTTAATAATAAACTAAATATTCAATTATAAAGATACAATTACTGTTTACTGAATAAACTAATAAAAAAAACACTTTGTGTCTCTTAATTAAAACGAATACAATTATTGGCAGTTAAGAAAAAATAGTTTTATATTCTTTTAAAAATAACAATATAGGATTTCCATAGTAATAGTTAAACGAGAGCTATATATATAATATGAATTGATGGTTCATTTGTCTTAAGGTGTGTGTGTGTGTGTGTGTGTGTGTGTGTGTACAAATAAAGTGTTATGACAGCTCTGAACACATTAAGTTAAACATGTACAAATATACAGGTGGTGGACACACACACACACACACACACCCTAATACCCCCCAAGTCTAGGGCCAACATGACATTTTCTAAAACATGAACAAACACGTCTGGCCTCCACTCCGATCCAATAGACAAATATCATCCCAAAATAAAACTAAATCCGAAACCTGAAACTGGACTCGAATTTTAATACAGGAACCGATGGTGCGTTTGTTAGGTCATGTAAGGTGAGGGTTAAGCTGAGTAGGTGGAGATATTAGGGTTATTTTATATGTAGCATGGAGGAGAGGTGAGGTGAGGTTTATATTCTATCTCACAGGATCAAAACACTATAAACCAGCCTCGTGTGTGTAAAGGTCGTTTATATTTTACACAGACTAAAGCACATCCGACCCACGCAAAAATATTATGGGGATCTAGCCCGGGCCTGCAGCGCCTACCAACCATCCATATTATTCTAAAGCGATTTATTGAGTGGCAGTGAAATATTGAACCAACGTCGGAACATCACAAATTCCTTAGGGTATCTCAGGCCAAATAACCTGCAACCCGACTCTTAAAGGTTAGTCCTGTATTATGAATTTTCCTCGTAAACAAAGATTTCAGGACGCATCGATATGGGGGAAAATTTGGTACTTTATTTAAATGATACACAGACTCAGGTCCAGCATTTAAGTTAACTGTAATTGAGCCACAGAACTGTGTATGCCACAGCCTGTATACTGTACAAGTTAATAGTGCTGTACTCTTGCGCAGTGAGCCGTGGAGTGCCAGTGAACACCAATCAGCCCAGACCCTCACGTTAAGTTAGATCTGGTTGGTGTCTGCTGTTAAAAACGGTTATTGTGTACAGAGGCTGTAATAAACATACCCGGAACTCCAGCAAAAGTAAAATGAGACTCCAATTCGGAATGATTGCAACGGCTGTATGTAAAATATTCAAGCCAAAAAGATTTTCAATTACATAAAAATATTTATGTTTGTTGAAGGGCGAATTTTAAGAGATTGAAAGCTATGCAAATGGAAATTATAATAACAGTTTCAAAGGTCATCATCATAAGCGATCTGGAATGAACTCATTCTAAACATTGTATCCAACTGTCTCAGTTATCACAATTATCGGTGCAACTTGGAAGTTGTGACAGTCTGTGTACCACTACAGTCTGTGGCCTATGGCTCTGTAGAACACCTAGTGTGTGTGTGAATATTTTCAGAATAAGAAATATTGAAGTGTGTTGAGGTAACACGGCTAAAAAACGGATAGATATACCAATATTGAGATACTTATTGTTTGTTTTACAATATATCGTTACGTACACGTACAGTGTACTGTATATGCTGCACCCACATATATATACTGTATAAAGAATAGTGTAACGGGCGGACTGTGGGTTTCATCTCAAATAAATTCACTTTCACAATAATTCTGAAAATATAAATAACAGCAAAACACGAACCAGGGGCCGTAAATACTGGCATTAAAACAAAATATAAACTCAGCACGGAGGCGCTGCAGGCACTACACCACACGTCACGGAAGTGTTGTGTGACTGCCACACCATGATAGGCTACACACTGTACAGATAAACCTTCTACACGATGTAGTCCCTTGAGGAGGACAAAACTCAGCAAAGTCATTCAGAAAGTTTTCCAATGATTTTCCCGAATATTAAACAGTGTATTTTCTGTTGGTTTTTACTCCAATTAACACCCAGTTGATCCCCAGATTCAAGGAAGTCCCCTCAAGCATAACACACCATAAGATCTTAATTTTAAAAGTTAACTCTTATTATGTACTAATTTGCAACTCACTCACTTATCCCCCTTGACCTAACCGACCAAAAGTTTAGTTCACCATTTCACTCACCCTAATTTAACAAACCTAACCAAATTTAACCATAATTTAGCTTAACTTTTCATGACCTAACATTCAACCATAACCTTTCTAGCTTTACCTAACCAGATTTAACCAAACCATCCTACCAATAAACCAAACCTGACCCAAATAAGAACCAAATACTAATAAACTAAAAAAAACCAATGAATTAACTAAACCTTAAGCGTCTATTACAGTAGCTAGAATCACCTCTGGATATTCGGCACTTATTACACCACCACATGACACTCGACTACCCTAGTACCGTACACAATGCACATCAATAACCACACACTGAGTTCAATTACCACCCCATGTTATTTTCCTCTCACAATAAACACAACTAAACATGTTAGTTTTTTATGATAACTTAACTTTGATGACCTTTGTATCTACTGTAAAATACTATATTAACAGGTAATAGCAATTTGAACATATGCAATTAAAGTGATATTAAAAGTTTGGGTGGCCATGAGTTCAATAGGGTTTGGTATTCTCTTATTAAATTCGTCAATACAAGAACACACGTAATATCGTCATTGGAATTAATCGTTATTAAAAAAGTTCCTTCGTATATCCCATGTACTGTACTGTAGGCGTGATGTACTTAACGTGATGCATCAGTCAAACGCGAGGTATAACAACATTAAGTTCCAGGATATCAATAATTATAATATAATTCTAATAATTTCAATGTATATATATTATGAAGTCATCCAACTGATAACAAAAACAAAATTTAACTTTCAAATGTATCTCAAAATAAAATAACACGATTGGTTATCAAATTTCCTTATCAATGATGTTTCTAATAACTGATAAATGCTCTTAATATCAGAGTATTAATATTCTCGTCGTACCCAAATAGTCACTTCCAAAATGTTACAAGTTTTATAATACAAACTAATCATTTCTGTGAATGTATCATAAGAACCTATAATCAAGATTTTAAATCCTATATTAAATCAATGATATTCACTATGTCCTCGACCCCTGTAATTTTCATAACACAATAATTCATCCACAAATCAATTGCTGGCCACACGATATACCCGGCGGGGACAGACAAACCTTGCCGTGGCGTGGGGCGCGGTAGAGGAAAGAGCGAGAGAGCCGCCGGGTAGGTCCGCACTGTTCGGAGGTTCAAGGCAGACTGGCACACCAATGCATTCCAGATCCAGCCTGGCAGTTGCCCCGTCTGGATTTTCGTTGTTAATTTAGGGACAGGAAGGGGTATGAGATAGCATCATTTCATGAAAAAGGGAGATGCTGTAATACACAATTTGGTGAATTATTCTCTGGGATAAGACACAATAATGGTAGTGACGGAGGGCATTATACATTAAGATGATAAATAACCGAGATGAAAGTGAGGGATGCTGGAGGAAGAGGAAGAATGAGAATCTTCACTATAAAAGGCTTATGTGCGTTAAATTTTCACAGCTCAATTTACATCCACAGCAAAATAATATTCAACTGGCATTACTGTACTCTGAAGCTCTTATCATAACTACAGCACAGCACAGCACAGCACCTTTTAATAACACTGACAGCACGCTTAGTTGTCAAAAGCTCAAATTACATCATTACATCAACAACATTTTTCATTCCAATCAGGGGATAAAGGCACGTCCAATCTTTGTGAATCAGGGCTCTAGTACTGAATTCAGAGGGATTCCTATGATAAAACGTCCCACAAATTGGAGATATGAAATTGTACCCGACTGGTTTATGGATAGCGACCTAGTGTACAATATATGGTACAGAAATAACGCAGCGACTCGCCCGCATTTTCAGACTCGTCCGTCGATTTTTCCTCTTAAATGGCGATATAAAACTAATAATCCAACTCACAAATGGTCGTAATATAAAATTTCATCGTAACTGAAGATGTAAGAATGTACTTAACTGGTTAATTTAAGCTAAAACACACAAATACGATTCAAACACAGCATCAAAACACACCTATACTCCCCTTTAATCAAATACACTAACTTACTCAGTGTAATTTTGATGTTTTTTGAGGCGTGTAGTGTTCTGTTCGCTGGTGTAAGTGTTCTGTTCGCTGGTGTAAGTGTTCTGTTCGCTGGTGTAAGTGTTCTGTTCTCTGGTGTAAGTGTTCTGTTCTCTGGTGTAAGTGTTCTGTTCTCTGGTGTAAGTGTTCTGTTCTCTGGTGTAAGTGATGTGTTTGGTGAGTGTTCCCTGCCATAACAAGGTCATAAACCATCCATCTGGTCTACCCCTTTACTTTCATATCATCCTACATCACCATTTTAAACTCTACCATACTAACACACTGTATTCCCTGGCAGTCGGCGAGCTACGAGTCTGGTGCTGACGGTTGCATGTTATTTTTTATTTATTCGACAAATGATGAACGAGTGATATTTAGGGCTAAAATCAGTGCAATTCCGCCGCCATTTTAATTTGTATTTATTCAACGGGTAATGAAGGAGTGATATTTAGGGTTAAAATCACAGTGTAATTCCGCCGCCATTTTTGTATCGTAAGTTGAGTCAATTAACTGCGTCCTACTTAGGTAATAATTAATGTTCGAATCTCTGGAAAGCCATCTGTCAGTTGCAGCTTAAACGAGTTCAGTCAGATGCGATTACATCCTCAATTACGGGGAAATAAATTAATGTAAGAATTATCAGGAATCTATTTTAATACCGAAGATTAAAATGAACCCGTTGGATACGTTCTCACATTCTCTTATGGGAAAAATTAACACATGAACCTCTAGGAATCTTCGCGTCTTAGCCAGTTGATAAGTTCTCCCATCCTTAATCAAAAAACAAAATAAACTATGTAATCATTAGGAATTTATCTCATATATCGTAGTTTCAATAACCCATTAGGCAAGTTAAGATAAGAAATTATCTTAAGAATGTCTAAGAATTAATTTCGTTGTCTTTGATTGAGTGAGCTAACTTAATACATTCCCACATCCTGTTTTGGGGAAAAATAATTCCTAAAAAATCTCCAGGAGTGAAATGAATCACCTTAAGATTAGTCACTCCAGCTTATTTCACCTGATGATTAAACACCCAAAAGCTAACCTTACATAAACTAACACCCTCACCTAAACTAATGCTAACATAACACAACTAAAGCTAAACTAACACCCTCACCTAAACTAATGCTAACATAACACAACTTAAGCTAAACTAACACCACCATCACCTAAACTAATGCTAACATAACACAACTTAAGCTAATCTAACACCACCCTCACCTAAACTAATGCTAACATAACACAATTGAAGCTAATCTAACCCTCCAGGTAATTTTTAGGCATTTCATCATCAAGCGAAAAAAATCAGTACCATTCATTCTCAACCTCTATCCTGGGGAAAAAAATCGTGAGAGTCTGAAACGTGACCTTGAAACCTTACAACTAGGTCAGGGTCAATGAGACGTTGGGTGACGCAGCCTTGCCTCCTGGGAGTTGGTGTTCCTAAGTCATTTAAGTCGTCTTATTCCTCCTCCTTGTAGTTTTATGTGATCAATTAGGAGGTGGTGGAAGAGGAGGGAGGAGGAAATGTGAGAGACTGAGGGTGCAAGGGTGGGAGAAGGACTAAGGGACTGAGCAAGGAATTGAAAGGGAGGGAGGGAGGAAAAGGAAATGTGAGACTGAGGAAGGAAGGAAGGAAGGAAGGGAGAGAGACTGGGAAAGGAAATGAAAGGGATGGAGGGAGGAAGGAAGAGGAAATGTGAGACTGGGGAAGGAAATGGAAAGGAGAGAGGGAGAGGGAATGACGTCAGAGGTATTTCACCTTGTTAGTCAAAATTGTGAGTTAATTTACGTATTTTTCTTATATTTTCACACTAGTCTTATATTAACGGTCCCTGGCATCACACCTGCGTTCACAGTTCAGGTGTGGATGTCACATAAATAGATAATGCTAGTAATTTTTATACCCGCAGGCTTTCAAGGAAACTAATGTCAATAAAAATATCTGTAAAATGTGGCGGTAAACGAATGATGAGTTCCCGCTTAAATATTCTGCAACATGACTTGAGGCAATATTCTCAAAGATTCCTGTTTAACTTCCCTTGTAACTGGAGTTGTAAAAATGATCCTCTTTTGACTTGATATTGCAAAGAGTTACATAAAATGGCACCGATGTTACGCTGAGACTGATCAATAAGCAACTATGTTCAAGGAGTAGGTCAGGGGACTAACCTTACATCCAAACAGAATCAGTTACATCGAGATTCTACCTTAACCAAATACATTCATCAGTTGGGGGACAAAGTTAACGTGCAAAATGTCATCATATTTATACAGACTACATTAATTATACATGTTCACTGAGCAAAAGTTAAAGAACAGAATAACGTCAATAACAGACTACAGTGCCTTAAACAAACATGTTCTCTCAGCACCAGTTAAAGTAAAAATTAACTCATGTTTGTGAATCCTGATCCTGGCAGAAGCCTTCGAGAAAATGAATTATTAAACGGCAGGTAAAAAGTGTTGTCGGAATATTTACATTTAACTTTTATCAGTAAAAAATTGTGTTTACACCGAGGTAAGAGGCGATGTATCCTCAGTGGCTGGTGTTAAACCAATGATATTTAATTTTATAAAAACATTAGACTCTGGTTGGTTTGTCTGGGTAATTTTATTAATGCTTTTACTGTAGTTTCCACGTTAATAAATATTTACCTATCTGAATAAATGTGACAGCTTTACATGCTTAATACTTGTAAAATTATCAAGAACGTTTCAGCTTACGAGTTCCTGAGTGATATTTATTAGACTATGTTACTGCATGAGAATAAGCACTGACTTAATATGTACCAGTTAGGGCCTGCTACATATACAACTATAGTCTCTAAATATTACCATAATTTCCTCTCATTTTCATTGTATCTCTTCATCTGTGTCCATATATACAACAGAGTGTATTCCTGCATGAAACTTATTACTATTATCACATTAAATTATAACTAACGTCGCGTAAACGGAGCGATCATCGTCATCAATACTGAGTAACTATTTATTATCGAGGCATTAATGTCAGTAGCATGGCTCGAGAACGGTAAGACCCATACCATCACGTGTTATTTACTGTACTGGGCTGCATATTAACGAGCTGTTGATTTCAGGATCGATAAATATCATCTCAGCTTCACCTCCCTAGGAAGCATCCTTAATACATTGCATTACGGTTATTATTAGTCGTGTCTATCATTTTTCATATACAGTAATTAACAGTTATCAAACACCGCCTTATTATCACGAAAATTCTATGTACAATACAGCGTTAAACGATAGAATCATTATTATTACTGTATTAGTATTATTGCAAGTATCATTATTACGTCATTTAATAAGGGTATCATCATTATAATTATGAAAAAGTATAAAACATACCAGACAATAACAAAAGTACCAATACCCCAGAAATACTCAGTAAAATACACGTAATATTTGTAACAGGAGAGCCATAGATAACTGTGTTCTGGGAAGCAATTTGCTGGCCTGTTTTAAGTGCCACAAATACTCCCTGGAAATTATGGAATATGATAAAAAACTGTTCTGGTCCTACTGTCCACCGCTAATCTCTAAAGCTTGAAAAATAACCAAGGATAAATCTATTCCCTCTTCCCTATAATAATAATAATAGTAATAATAAAGATAAAAGATAATAATAATAATAATAACATTAATAATAAAGATAAAAATAATGATAATAAAATAATAAGAATATATGTAGCCTACAGTATATGCGCTCGCGTGTAAGAAACCTTTCCAGCGAAAAAAAATGCTGCATTTAAGATTCCGTTGACTTAACTGATAAAGAAAACCATATACTGTATAGACTATATGCAAAACTCACACCAAAGACTGACAACATTGTTCCACTTAATAAAATGTAAGAGACAGTTTTTGATGGAGTGAATTATGGTGAGACTTGAGGTGAGAACTATCAAGATGGTTGACTGTTGAGGCTCTCAAGTTATTAAGTGAATATAATGCTTCACCCTTCAGTTATGTAAACACAAAACAAATCGTTTACCTTGTGTGTTAGGCGGAGGTAGAGTCTCAGTCCTTTTCTTCCACCATCATCAAACTTTGTTGGTGTTTCTTCACTTTGTCTTCTTTGCATCTTGAGGTAAAGTGACATAAAAATAC